GTAGAGATTGAGTGATCATACCTTTCAACCCTCCCCACTCCTCGCACCACTTCTTAATTTCAGGATTCGCCACCTTTCATCTTTTTTTTTTTTTTTTAAATATCGCCACACTCATCTTCTGATCCACTTTAACGCTAGTCTTATCATCCACCCTTACCCCTCTCCACCATTCAATGATCTTGTCACATAAAACAATAATTCTTTACCATTTATCCTCGAACCTGGAAGGACAAGGACCATATTTAATTCAATTGGAAGTTAGGTAATGGGAACATGATCAAAGATAGTGTGTTGCAAAAGTTGTTGACACAAATTCGTTAGTTATAATTAGCAAGAAACTAACACCAAGAACCTATCAATTCTAGAACAAATCGAGTTGAGTCTCTGATTGGACTACATCCATTTACCTTCCATTAGGGGTAAATCCAGTAGTTCAAACCTGTGTAAAGTCTCCTTAAATTTGTCAGCGTAAACCTTCTAGAAATGTTCTTTGGATCTCTCTTGTCTACTTAAAACTATGTTAAAATCTTCTCCAACAATTCACAAAAAATCTCATTTCTGCTTGCAGTCATCCAAATCCTTCCACAACAAATCTTTCTCTTTCTTTTCACCTCTGTTGTACATACAAATAAATGCCCACCTCCACTCATGTCTACGATCTTCAAATAGGTACAAAATAGAGCATTCTCCCAACATCATCTCACAATTAAGTACCCCTCGCATTCCTATAACCAAAATCCCTCCAGAATACCCCATAGATGGTATATCTTTCCAACCTATCTCCTTAGTCTTCCAAAGGCCACGTACAATCCTATTTGAAATAGATTCCATTTTAGATTTCAAAAGCTAGATCATATCATGTTTTCATCTATTCATACAATCCCTTATCACATATCTCTTTTGTGATCATCTATTCTCCTAATATTTTAAGAGCTAATCTGACCGAATATAATTTAAGTATTCCCAATCACCCGTTCTCCCTTTTTTCCCCCTTCCGCAAATTGTCATAACTTATGCTTGATTCCAATCCTATCAACTCTCTAGAACACTCCACTCTCCATTTGCTTTTTGCTATGGATTTTATCCTCTCCCCTCTCACTTTCTCCTTCTCTCTTTTTTCTATCTCTTTAAAGAGCATCATAGCATGTTCCTCTTAACCTTCAAAAAGTGACCCCCAAGTATACTACTAATCCGCTTGAAGTTTTGGAGTACCCATCTAGAGTTTTCTTCCTCAATCAAATCCCTCATATTTCCTCTCATCTCCTCCTCCACTGTCACGTCCTCCTCTTGCACCACAGCCCTTTTGTTCTACCCAAACATTTCTACAGCCACATCAAACACCATCAAAACCACCACCAGTGGCCAGGCAGATCCCCCTCCATCCTTCTCGACCACCTCACATTCATTTAAAATGGCTTCAGCTTATATTACCTCCTCCTTACCCGATCCTTCCTCCCACCAAGTTCCGCTAGACTCTCCCTCTCCTCTGTTGACCTCTCCGCCATTGGATCTAAATCCATCATCATAGCCATGCAGTGATTCTCCCGCTCTCCCCCTATTGGCAACACGGGTTTTAACTTCTCATACCGAGCCACAAGTGGACCCGGACCTAGATTTCTAGCCTGTTTTGCTGGCTCGGCCTGCTTGATCCATTTCCCCTTCTTGGCTGTTGTGAATCAACTCTTCATTTTTCTAACTAATTAAGAAATGCACATAAGGTGAATACCACCAACCTCCTTCTCAGCAAGGCTGATTGCTTTGCTAATCTAATGACAACATGCCGGGAGCTAAGGAAGCTGAAATTACTATGTACAGATTTAAACACCGAGTAAGAGAGCCCTATTCAACTAAAACCAATAAAACAAATAGTTTTCAGTTATTAGCCTGTCACTATCCACATTCTAGAAAACGAAATAAACTACAAAAAACAGCAGAAGAAAGGCCAATTTTCTCTTGCTTTCCGCATCTTTCCTTGCTTTCTCGCCAACCAAACAAATTAAATAAATTATTATTTTTAAAAAATCGGAAACAAAAAACAGAAGCCTTAAATTACTGACCAATCAACATGGTAAGGAGAAATGCTCATGGACATATTGGACAGCGACGACACAGAGTTTTTCCTGCTCTGAAGAAGCGCGAAGGGTGAGACTGATCCGTAGGCGATCATACGCCACTTATCGTTGCTGATCTCTCCATCCCCGCTTGCAAGCCTCACCTCCACCACCTTCCCGCCGGTTCTATCATCCCCTTCACTGCCAGAATCGTTTCCTGACTTCGACACCCCGAAAACTGAGACACGGAGGGCGTTGCCGCGGGACCAGGAAATAGAGATGCGAGATATGGGAGAGTTAAGGCCATGCTGGAGAGGGTATACAGTTACAGGTTGGGCCTCCACCGTAAACGGCAGCAACGCGCCTCCGCCGGAGTCCGACGCGACGCCCGGCATTTGTAGCTGGCTCGGAGATGGTTAGGGTTCTTGGGGGTTTTGAAGGAAATGGGCAGACGCGTGAGTACACACTGCAGTCTTGAGTAGCAGAGGAAGTGTTAGAATGAATTTTAAAGCAAAACGAACCGTTTTATTTAATGAATAATATTCATCTTTCCGGGGCAACGTTTCGTCCCGCCAAAATTTGTTTTTCAGTCATGCTGGCTTTTTTAAGGAAATTAGATTTCGGCATGAAAGTTAAAAAAGAAAATTTTGTTTAGACCAAAATACTCTCTTACATATTCAAATAAACTGTTTTATCGATTCCTTTTTTTTTTTTATCCATTGAGACTACTTTTTTAATATGTCTATATATATTTATAATACACACGTGATTGATATAACATAATTCATAAAGAGATTTTAAAAATATGTATTTATTATCAATTTTGTAGGGTTACAAATAATTCTTCTTCAAAATAACAATTATCAATATGACAATCAGACGTAAGAAAATTTGATGCAAAAATTAATTTATTTCTTTTTTATTAAATTATAAAAAATAACAAAAAATTAGAATTACATATCATTTAAAAATAATGCAGTCATAACATGATTGAAATATATCTTTATAAAATTCTTAATTTTCTGATCTATTTCTCTATTATGTATAAGTATTTTAAAACTTTAGCTGATAGAAGATTTATATAAAAGGAAAATTTGTGCTCATTTTATAAATAAGAAAATATGATAAAACACATTAATGATAATTAAATGTGTTGATAACTATTTTTATTATTATATTTTATGAGATATAATAATTTTATAATTTTTTTTTTTAAATTACTATTTCATTAATGTATATTGTTATTTATTATTTAAAATGTCATTTTAGTTGATTTCAACCATTATAAATAGATGAGAAAATAAAATATTAAATTAGTGGATTATATATTTAATTATTATAATTAACATAAAATATAAGACTTAGCCCTAAGTTAAATCCTAAATAAGATGCTTTGTTGAATCACATGGTAGTTTGCAGTATAAATTTAAATAATAAAATTAACTGCATCTAAAACCACAATTTAGTATGTTTAAGTAAATCACAAATTCTTAATTAAATAGCAGCTAATAAATTCTTATAATTTGACTTACACTGTTTCAATTGCATACTTAAAATTTTATACTCAGAGATTTTCACCATATCTAACTGCAGTATAAGTAAACAGATTTACAATTTTTGTTTCTTAATTTGTTACAAAGATAACCTAATTGGAAACTAAATATTTTTCCATGTTTGCCTCCTTTTAAACAACTTCACTTTTCTCTCTTTTTTCTTTTTACTTTTCTATTCTTTTCTGTCTTTAAAGTTTCATTCTTTTTTAATTTGAGACAATTTTTTAAAATTATTTTCAGACCTTTAATTAAATAATATTTATTACTATTTCTATAAAAAATAATAATAATAACAATAAATATTTAAGTTAATTTTTATTGGTATTATTCTGCAGTAAAATGCAAGCGTCCATCTGGTTTGATTAATTTCATTCATATCTTTAATGAAAAGATTTTAATTTTCGTTCAAATTTGTGTTGTATTCCTCTCTATATTATATGAAATTAAATATTGAACGAATATATCTTAATTGAATTATAAATCTAACATGGTTGTTCATCAATAGTTTTCACTGCAAATTACACAATACAAATTTTCATTTTCTATAATTCAGTATACATTATTTGCAGGAATCAATTCTGTATTTTCACAAGGCATCCCTGTCTACACACACAACTTATTGCAATCATTCAGACATACAATCTAAAGATCTGTGAATCATTTTTAACCATGCTGCACCAGGTTTCCTGTATATGGCATTCCTGTTGCAGCATTATTTTCCATTAGTTGAAGAAGCAAGGCACTCCTGTACAATCTCCTGGATCCTTTTCTTCATCAGCTTGTCCTTAACACCAGCAATCAAGTTTCTGTAGAACATTTCCAACCTGATAAGCCTACCTCGATCTGCTGATTCTAACATGTTCTCCCACTCTCTTGCAATATCGAAGTTAACTGAGTTATGCAACGAGGCTGGAATGTCTCTCTCATCAAATGGTTTGCCAAAAATTGAACTATGAAGTATGCTGGCATATTTTTCCATTGCAGAAAGTTTGGACTGAAGGAGTTTCATCTCCTCCATGGCCAAAGACAATTTTTTATCTGTTTCTGACACATCTTTGGACTTTTTCTCTGTAATCTTATCTTCCTCGTGGCCTGTCTTTAATTCCTCTTGCTTGAAATCATCTGCTAGTGGAGGCCATAATATAGCAGTGGGAGCATAACAATCAACTGCACGGCCATTTCCAAGGACTCCGCTCCTTCCCCGACCCCAAGACCAAAGCCTGTATCCATCATGTGCAACAACAATAGTATGGGCAGCCCCACAAGCAACCTGAATTGGATCTTGAAATTTGGGTTGATGTAGCCCGCTACATGAAATTAATAGAGGGCGAACAGCATCACCTGCATCAATTCCAGAGAAACTAGCATCTGGACATAGGCCTAGACCCTTCTCCATTCCCCATGACCACACATCTCCAGCTGAGGAAACAACACTCGTATGGAATAGGCCACAATCAATAGAAGTAAGGTAGACATACTGTGGCAGTTCTTTTACGGGTTTAGGAATCAGTGCACTTTCGGTGGTTCCAAGCCCAAGCTGTCCATTATCCCCAAGTCCAAATGTCCAGCACATACTTTCTAATGTGTTGTTAGGTCTCTTTTTGTGTGTAAGCAAGGCAGTATGGAAGGCACCACAAGCAATCTCATAAACTGCCCTGGGGGAGTCTTTGTTAAATGTTTCAACAACTTGAGGGCGCGGTCTGTTCTCTCTGTCCCCCAGACCTAACTGCCCATGATTATTATTTCCCCAAGTGTAGCACACTAGATCCTCACCTTCATATTTTTCTCCAGCACTAACAAGGGCTACAACATGTTCACTTCCGCATGCCACCTTAACAACAGTGTGTCCATGGAAATCCCACACAGGAATTGGAGTGAAAGTGCTTCCAAGGGAAAAACCACCTTCATTGTCACTGCTTTGCTGTGGACAGTTGCCCCACATCCACAAAGCTCCAAGATTATCAATCGCCATAGACATCATACCTCCAGCTTTCACAGAACAAATCTGTGGTCAAAAAGGAGTGAAACAAATTATTGAACAAGGCTTGCACCTTAGCCAGGCACTTCAAAAATGATGGGTACAAGAAAAATCCTCATGAATACCTTTAATGATTCTTTACTTTGCTCTCCTGATTCATTTGTCAGAGAATCAGTACCACCCAACTCAAGGAAATGCTCTACCAAGCAGGGGACCATAGAATTATTTCCACCATTACCGAGTTGGCCATCCATATGACAGTCAAGGACACACAAAATGGAAATAACAGCAAATACAAAGAAGATATCCGATGATTGATGACGCAGTTCACAGATAAATAAATACCTCATAACATGTGAAAATTTAAAACATTAAGAGGTCCAGTGAATGAAGGATACAGATGTTGTAACCCCAGCACCAAACAGATCCATCATCTGCCAATGTAAGAGGAATCAATCACAGGAACACTAACAAACCCACTGGACATGATGGCTCCATTTGGTAAATAAAAATATTTCACAATTTTATTTCCTGAACTCAGAGATAACAACATGTATATCGTGCCTGTATGTATTGTAGTCAAATATAAATAAGCACCTAATTCTATAAATATTCCTAACAAATTTTATTCTCCTGAAACTAATCACATCTTCACATTATTTTTCCAAATATTGTTTTCAATTTCAACTGAAAGGTGTGTGTGTCTGTGTGTGCGCGTGCGTGTGTCTGTGTGTGCGCGTGTAGCAAACGAAGATTAACCAAAAAGAAAATTCCCCAAGAGAGCCTATGTTTTTGTCACATAATGAAAAGAAATCCAGTTGCGCTACCACTATATCTTAAGCTGCTAAACAACCCTATAAACCAACCCAAGTTTTCTCTCTTGCTTACAAACTCTCCGTAACACGAGGTACTAGCCCAAAAATCATGTGTTTGTCACAAACACAAAATGGAAGAACCAGAATCCAGAGCAACTCCAAGAAACAGGATGAATTTCAATTAAAAGAAATGGTGAGTACTTGTAGGAAAATTTCCTATTCTATTTTTGCTAGCTAACTAGCAAGTAAATGGCAAGAGAGCAAATATTATAAGAAGGCTTCGAAGATATCGGAATAAAACAAAACATCTATGCGCACTGTACATGGCGAAAGAACCTGCTAAAGCAACACTATGATAAGCACCAGCGGCAATCCCCACAATGTTGAGCCTCCCTCTTTCAGGTTCACCCGGAAAATCAAACTTGACCTGAACAGGAAAAAGCTCATCAGACTCTTTACCGGTCCCGAGCCGACCAAACATTCCTCTTCCCCACGAGTACAGGACTCCATTCCCTGAATCACCACAAAATAAACCCAGGGTTTACCAAATGGCTCACAAAAATGACAAATCTATCATGTATTGTAACCAAGTCTAAGTTTAGTTTAACACAATATATACATAATGAATATATGACGGAACAAATATGTTGATTACCTGCGAGAGCAAGGGTGTGAGATTCACCGGCGGCGATGTTGACGATTTTGCGGGACGAATTGCCGGAATCTGATAAGGCAATGGAGTCGTCCATTATAAATCCCCAAGTCGAACAGGGGAGAGAAATTTCCAATAATTGCAGTCACTGTAGCAGTCTGCGGAGTACCAGTTCCGTGATATCTATGATGATGATAATGATATCCATGGAGGATAACATTAAATAGGTAAGAAGCTGAAGCTGGTATTTCGCAGGCTCTTTATTATTCTTAATATAATATTTTCATTTATTTAAAAAAAAAAAAATCTACTTACATATATTATTATTGATATATACATTATATATGATATTTTCATTTATTACAAACTGTAATTAATATTATTTTAATTTATAAAGGATAAAAAGCTAAAAGAATGAGATAATAACCCAAATATAATAATCAACTTATATTATTCGTATTCAATAAATAATTTTTTGTCATAATCCAGGTACATAGTTCTGATTTAAAATAGTATATATATGGGTTTGAAAAAAAAAAAAGAGAGAGTAAGAAAAGAAATAGAAGGATTTAAAAAATAAAATGAGAATATAAAAAAAAATATATATAAAATAAATATCTAGAAAAAAGATAACTCTAGGTTTAAAGAATATATTGATAATATATTTAAAATATTTCATTTATTTATTAATTATATATATATAGAAAGAAAAAGTATATTAATAAATAAATAAATATTTTATAAAAATCCAAAAAAATTGTAAATAAAAATTTTAAATTTATTGGTTATCTAAGAATTTGAGAGGACTAAAGACCCATCTGACTTTGATTTCCTGCAGACATTTCTATAGTTATCTTCGTGTACCTCTATAGATCTTATACTTATTTCTTATATTTGTGTTAATTTTTAATGTAAATTTTCAACATAAAATTTTCAAAAATTAAAGAATAAAATTAGAAAAATTATAATTTAATATAATTATATCAATTATATATTTTAACAAATATAAAAAAAGTAACGTGTAACATGTGTTAGGAAATTAGTTACATGAATATACTATATATAACAAAAAAATATTCTACGTACTTTAAAAATTTTTAATTATTTTTAATATTTTTATTTTAAGTTTTATATTTTTTATATTATGATATTCGTAGAATTGTATAAATATGTTTATGGAATATAATTATGTAGCGTCCATAACGTGCCTTGTGGTCAACCATGAACTCACCACTGCGTTCCCCTACACTCCCGCCATTCTTCACGTGTACCCCTTTATTTACACAACGAATTTTCACATCACAATTAACAATCCCACCCTTTCGCATTCAACATTAATTAATTTATTTTCTCCAACAATGGATCAGCTCTCTGCTTCTTCCTCCAATTCACCCGGCCACCACCGCTCCCACCGCCGCTCATGGCTCGCCCAACCAGTCACCGACCGGATCTTCCGGGCCATGCGCCACCATCTCCGCCTCCTACACCGTTCCGAATCCACCTTCTTCGTACTCGGCGCCACTGGGAACGTCTATATCGTCGGTCTCACCACCACCCCAACCTGCACTTGCCCTGATCGTACCTCCCCTTGTAAACACATCCTCTTCGTTCTAATCCGGGTGCTCGGCGTATCCCCAGATGACAACTGTCTCCGTCGGCGGACTCTCCGGCCCTGCCGGCTGAGTCGTCTGCTGAGTTCTCCTACCTTGCCGGAATCCATGGCGGGGCCAGGTCTACGAGAGAGGTTCCACCAGCTTTTCTTTCAATCAGAGGTTGCGAGCACTTGTTCTCATATGAGCCGGGTTGAGATAGAAGATGGGACTTTGTGCCCTGTTTGCCTCGAAGAGATTGGTGGGGATGGTGGACAGAGTGTGGTGGCTTGCCGGAGTTGCCGGAACTTGATCCATGAAGAGTGCTTAGCTCGGTGGAAGAAGAGCAGAGGGAGGAGGCCGGCGAGTTGCGTCATCTGCCGAGCCAGGTGGAGAGACGATCGGAACCACCAAGACAAGTATCTCAACCTCTCTGCTTATATTAGTCTAGACGATGTGCCCGTGGCTCACCCTTCCCAGGGTCGTCCATGTGGTGGTTGAAGTTCTACATTTATGACTATTTTAATCTGATTGGGTGTATATAATTTTCAATCACTCATATGTAGCTTTAATAAAGCTTTCAGTAATTTAATTTGATTATTAGGACAAACGTACATATATTATTACAGAAGTTATGGATGATTTCACGTTTTATATTTTGGTTGATACTATCTTAATTTTACATAAAAATTTTAAACAAATTATACAAATAGAATGTATTTTCAATCTTAACTTTATTTTTAAATTAATAAAAATTATAATATGAGTTTGTTTAATTAAATAATTGGAACATATTTTTTATATAAAAATTTATAAATTTGAATTGAGTTGAATTCTATATGTGTTACTGTTAGAAAATATTTTTATTATGTTATAATTTGCTCAAAAAATTATATATGAGTAAATAAAGTGATCCAAAACAATTACAATATGTCAACAATAGAAATTAATCTTGAACAAGTACTAATACAATTAGAAATACACTAACAAGAACATTGGTTATTAAAATGATTAAATGTACGAGTAGAATGTCAATTTTACAAATAATTAGCAAATCAATAGTAAAGCCTAGATTGTATTAATTACTAAACTTAATAGTATAAAAAAAATAGAATTTTTTATAAGAAATAAACTAAAATGTTATATGACTAAGAGTGTTGATTTCATTAGATTCAATATTTTATCTAATTAATCCAAACGAATATAATCTTTATTTATTGATCCTAAATTATAGTTACTAATTATCAATCTATTCATCTCCTAAGTTCCAAAAAACGGGTATATTTAACCAAGTTAACAAATATTCTTATTCAATTAGTTTAAATTAAACACCTGTTAAGTTTCGTCTATTATTAATTTTCAATGTTATCGCAGCTTCGGAACTCAATACAATTACTTAATGGTAATTTTTAAATTATGCATTTACTATTAATCATTCTAAATTTAATATTACACACACCAAATAGATTTTATTAAAAGATAAATCTCATAAATATAAGAAATATAAAAAGTTAATAAAATAGATCAGTATCATTAATGATTAATCAAATAGTCATATTAATTGCTATTTTAATCTCGTAGCTAAGGAGTTTATCCGAACATGCTTAAATTAGAAACCCAAGTCATCAACATAACTACATTATCCATAAAAAGAACAACATGCTTCTATTACAATCCAAAACCAAAAACAAAATAGCTAACTGAGTACTGTGAATAAAAATAAAGACATATGTAGAGGAAAGAAAGGCTTTTTTCAAGCTTTAAGCTGTAAAATCCTTCTTTTCCTCCTAGTTACACTTTTCATTTTTATCCTAACCATTAAACCCAACCTTTTTTTTTTTTTTTTGTTGTCTTTTCTCTCCTAAAATCTCATTTTCCTAGTGCTGTCTTTTCCTTTATATATGTTCTGCTTTATAGTTCCACATAATCTTAGGAGGTGTTTGCCAAAAATGGGGGTGACTTAAAGCTTTGTAGCATAGAATCTATCCCATGTAGTGGGATTTTTTTTCTTGCTACATTAAGAACTTTTTGTTTCTCCTATGTTTTTCTTTGATTACAATGTAACTAATTTAAATTCTTTAACAAAAATTATAAAATTAAAAATGTCAACAATATGAATTTCAATTACTGAGATAACAATGTGTAAAACAACTTGTAACTCGCTATCATCCAAGATTTCATAATTATGAGGATTTTTTTATACCAATATAAAGAATGTGTTATAATTTCCACCGGAATAGAACTAACTAATAATTGAAAGAAAAGACATTTATTAGAAGATATATAAGGCGCTTTCATTGCCAAGATAAGAGAAATATTCAATAAAGACAGAGACTTGACGATAAAATTGAAAAGCAAAGTACTATAATAGCATGAATGCAACCACGAAATGCTTAAACGTTCGAATTAGTGAACTTGCCATGAATATAGAGAGAAAATCATTTGGGAAATTTCCCCAATAATATGAAAAATTATTCCAGAAAATAATGTAATGCATTTGCTTTGTGAATTGGGAAAGAAGTTGAAGGTCTTAAACTTCGTAAAGCTAAAGAAATGAAGGAAGAAGAACAAAAGGAGAAAACTGAAGGTGACTTTGAAACTAGGCTCTATTCCTCTTTCAGACAATCTGTCAATCATCACTCCTCTATTATCATTTCCTTAATGATTTCAAAAGAAGAAGCAGCAAAACTAATTCTCTAAATTCGTTAAAATGTTTTAAAGAAACTCATGTCAATGGAATTTTGCAGATGCCTCAATTGTAAGTGAAAAAGTTTCTGAATAAAGCCATGTCAACAAAGAGGAGATTGGAAGACTACGAAGCTGTCAAATTGACAGAGGAGTTAGTGCAATCCTTCAAAAACAGCAGCATATTCACAAGAACTAATAATCTTGAAGATCCTTAAATATATAACTATCATTTGTGATCAATACAATTTACTCCATATTCAAACATTTCAAAATTAAGAAGACGACCAACCCACTTAACATCAAAGCAAACCAGAAAATGCAAGGGGCAACACAGAGACGAGCAACATGAAGTACATGATATGGTAATATACATATGTTACACATATATATAAATAGATATATGCATGTGGCGGAGAACTTGATCAAATCATGCATTCACTCTCCACCTCAGTCTCCACATCCTCCGCCGCAACCTCCACATCCTCCACAATCTCCGCAGCCTCCACCACCCCCGCAGCCTCCACAACCGCCACCACTTCTTCCATGTTCTTCATGACCAGCGCCGGTGCCACTATTACTCCCGCCCTTAGTAGCATTAGGAGCTGGTGCTTCTGTTTGAGCTTCACCTCCGGACAAAATAATCATCCCACCATCTCTACTACCACTCTGCTTATTACTGCTTTGTTTAGTCTCGCCAATTTCAAGGTCACGAGTAACATAACTTTGTTTCGACGCCACTGTTCGAGTTGATCTTACTTGACCTTGCTTCCCTATACGGCTGCCTCCTTTGCACTTGCAGAGGCAACATAAGATGAGAATGGCTGCAGCCACAGACCCACATACTATAAGGACAATTGCATATGCTTTCATTGTGTTCATATACTACACATATATATATATATATATGCGTGTGTGTGTGTGTATATATATATACTGTTTCTTGTTGTTGCAATTCAGAGCTGAATTCCCTTAGTGCTGCCCCTTTTCTATTTATATATCCATGTACTTTGATTTCGTGAATTATATATTCTACGAAAAAGAAATTTTTTGTAAGTCCACAGGTTACTTTCCATAGACTTCAGGGAAACGCGAAGGAAATTTTCATGTTTAGTTGACTTTGAATCTGCACAAAGAAAGTTTTCATGTTTAATTGACTTTGAATCTGCACAAGGAATGTTTCCCTTGCATTATTATTATTATTTTTTATGGGATACGATTAAATTTTAAAAAATTAAAAAATATATATATGTATATACATATATATATACATATAAATTTGTAGTATAAATTATCCAATCATTCAAGAAATATAAATATTTATCACTTTCTTACAATTAAACAACATTAAGTGAGAATACGGATTAAGACTGAATTGATTTAAATTTAATATATGTATTTATAAATTTAAAGCATATATTATCCTATAATTCAAGAATTAAAACTCTTTTATTTTTCATATATAATTTACCATTGAACAACATTAAGTAAAAAAATCAGTTCGTCAAGATATAAAAAATATAGTTTAGATTTATATGAATTAAGTTTGGTTTAGAATGAATGAGATTTTTTTTTCTCAAACTATATTTTTTCATTAAAAATATTTAATAAAACTAATAAAAAATAAAATAAACAATAATCATCTCTAAATTTTCAGTTGGGACCAAATTATGACCAAAAATTAGATAACTGTTAATCTAATTTTTTTTACCAAATTAAATAATTAGTATATTATTTAAATTTTTGTAAAAATATTTTCACTCTTAAAGTGGGCATTATGACGGGGCCGGCGCAACGCAGGCTTCATGCTTATTTCGCAAGGAAAAGGACACCGTCTTTTTACTTCCTTCTCCGCTACCCGTGTTATCCCTCGAACCAGTAACCCGAAGGAGTAACAGTTATCCAATCAAGGCTCAAGAGATTGATTTCTATTGTCTACCATTCAATCAATCCCTTGCTGCTATGTGGGGTTCGTCTCGAAATTCTTCTCAACGTCCAGGCAAGGTACGTAATCACCTCTTCTTCCCAATTTATCGTCTTCTTCTTCGTTAATTGATCCCTTGTTTGGTTGCTCAGAAGCCGGTGGAACAGTAAGAAATGGGAAGCAAATCAAAATAACTATTTTGAGGCTCAAAATTCCCATAACTCAAACTAGAATTGTTAGTCTCATTTAAAGCGTACCTTCTTTAATGTGGGATTTTTTCTTGCTAACATTCAATTTAAAATTTTCTAAGGTAAATAATGGTTCTAATACTTTCTTAGCAACCAAACTAGGGTTATGAACGTTAACAAATTCTTTTGTCTTTTTCTCTTCCTCTTTATTATTGTTTGAGGCAGCAGAAGCAAGAAAGAGAAGGCTTTTCGGTGAGTTTTAGGCTAGAGAATTTCATTCCTGGGCTCGTCGTTGGCTTCATTTGTGGCATGTTATTGGATTTATCAAAACCCACAAAAAGTGGAACAAGTAAAAGTAATCTTTCAGCGGGCAAGTCGCAACAGCTGGATTTCTTCTCAAGAAATGGTGTCCAAGAGCTTAAAATGGTTCGTTTTTTTCCTTTTCCCGGTTTAACTTCCTTTATTTATTTATTTTATTTATTTATTTTTTCTTTGGTTCGATGGAGGTTTTATGGCTTGTTTTTGAATTTGTGAATGACCAGAAGGAAGCTAATCTGCATTACCAATGCATGATGATAAATTGTTATAAATTTGTTGCTATTAATTTTTTAAGCTGGAAAATTGTGGCTATTAATGTATAAGAATGGAGAATTTAAAGCAAAAAAAATGTTGGTCCCAGTGGATTCTCTACAATATTATTAATTTGGTGGCAGCTCTTTGATGATTTACAGTTTAGCCAGGTTGTGGCTTCCAAAATGTTTACTACCCTGTGATGACTTCACAAAATCTGTTGCCTTATAGTCTATGTGAATTGAGGAGTGTGAATGAAAAAGGAAACTAAAGCACATAGTCACCTTCTTTTTGCTGTTTGGACAAAAATTAGTACAAATATATGGAGCAAGAGAAAGGAGAAAAGAGAATTTTGAAAAGAGATTGCAAACGATGGTAAATTATTATTGAAATTATAAAGCAAAATAAAAGAAATGATTAATTATAAAAATATTTTTAGTCAATAGAATGACAACTATATAATTAAGGATTAAATGGAAAATTTGTTACTACCATTTTTAACTTTTTTGTTTACTTATTTCATTGACTCTTGAATTAAAATTTTAAGCAGAAGGTATTATTGTAGAGATCAATTAAAATTAGCAATTAAGGAAAGTAAAACACACACTGCATTCATTTTTGCTACAGGAACAAAGGTTTCGTGATAATCTACTTTATAAAGCTCATACCTTTCTACAACCAGCCTGATTTTGTATGGGGGTGGTTTGTGTTCCCAATTCATTCATTTACCATGTTTTACAGTTTATTGAGTTTTTTTTTCCCCTCTAGATAAACTGACAATTTCTCTTTTATTTTTTGGTAGTACATTTGTTTCCTCCCTCATGGCTTGTTCCCAGTCTTTATCCATAAGTGACTTGCATGGTCGCATAAAGTTCAGGGAATGTCTATTGGATTGGGGAGGGGTTGGGGAGGTGAGGGAATGCCTATATTGTGGAGACAATCTGTAAAAGGATACAAAGTGAGAGATTGAGGTGTTCCATCCATTTTCTAATTTCTTTTCTAACAACAATAAGTATGTCAATAGGAGGAAAATCATGAGAAACAGATCCATTATCAACAGTACATAGGGAACAGATGGATGGATTTAGTACTTGGTTTGGGTTCTTGGTCCTGCATGGAGTTGTAAACTGGCACTCTCTTTCTTGAATAGACCTGAAGTGGCACAGTAGGATTTAGACCAGTTTGCTGTTTTTCCAACTCAGTTTCAAAGTAGATATAGGTTCATTTTTGAGATTTGTTTGCTGAAAAATTTAAATGAGCAGATGCTGAATGTATCTAAAATAAATGAGTTGATTTCCAAACTCACCAGCCTCCTATCATTGGGGTTCCGGAGGAGAGGGATATTCCATTGAATCCCACCATTATGCACCTCATAGCACTCCCCCATCTTTTCCTGTTAATACGCTCAAATGGTCTAGCCAGAACCAGAACCTCCTATTCAGCACCTTGAACTTGGAGCAGTGTCATCAGTCTCTACTAATCCAATTCCACGGGCTAGAGCAATTTTTGCCCCTTCTAGAAGACCAATATATCAAACAAATCATAATTTGTGGCGATGAATTTCCTTCATATGGCATTCTTAGAGGATAAAAACCATACTCAAATTTTTAATTAAATTTTAAGATGTTCAATTAATCACGATAAGGCAGGAGCAATATACCTCTCAAAACCTTCCCTTGGTATTTGGAGTGGTGGATGGAGTATGGAGAAGATTCTCCTCTCCCATACTTAGCCCACTGGCATCCTCAGGTCAGGCAGAGACATGGACTTTGTCCTCTGTCAAGATCGGTTGGGAACTGTGCCCCGGGAATTGGCAGGCCTAGAACTAAGACAATGCCTCGGGTTTGGTCAGGCATAGGACCAAGACTGTGGCCTGAGTTGTGCAAGCCTAATGCCAAGTCCATGCCATGGGTCATGTTGAGCCTAGGATTAAGACCGTGCCCTGGATTGTGTCTAGGATTGTGCTCTAGACCTGGCTGAGGCAGTAACCATTTTGTCCTTTATTTCTAAACACCATTTCATTTCAATTCCTTTCTGTTCTTATGTTATATAAACATAACATCTCATGCATATATGGAATCGCATAAAAAGTTGCTGGAGTCTCATTGCAGGTTCTGGTAGTTAGGCAAGACCTGAAGATGAGATCAGGAAAGATTGCATCTCAATGTGCTCGTAAGAATCCTGCAAATTTGTTGAAAGTTTTAGGTTTCATATTTGTTTCAACTAAGTGGTAATCCCAAATCTATCTCCCTGAGTGCCCTACATTTGATTTTTCTTCCTGATTTGAATAAATTTTCGCTTGCAAATTGCAGATGCTGCCACTGGCATGTATGCAGAATTGATGCGGAGGTACTTGTGTCCTAGTAATGTTAACCATTTCTCCTTTGCAATTGGCTTTTTTTTTTTTTTATACATACGATGTATCTTGCTTTTTTCATCAAACCATTGTTAGAGTTGTGTCTAAGATTCCAAATTCTGTGAATCTTTCCCATGGGAATAGAATTGGCTCCTTTTTCATGTTGTTTGAGGCAAACCAAACAGATTGCCACAAACACATCCACACAGAAAACCATGAAAAAATTTAAGCACATGCTAGACATCACTGTCTCTGATAACAGCTAACTGGTTCTGGAATTCTTTTGTAAAGTGCATTTTGACATCAGAAATTCTCTGGTAATTGTTTATTTGCCTTGCTTCTTTTCATGATCAGGGGTTTGGTTCTTTTTTCATCTTTTTCTTTATCTGTAACCTGTCGAAATGGCATCTTACTGATGCAGTTGTAAACAATCTCCCATCGACTTTATTGATATGTTAGTCATCACATGCTTGGAACTGTCTAATAATCCAGAATTGCTACAGCGACCGGTCCCTTCTGAGACAATGGGAACAATGTGGTCAACCCAAAATAGTTGTTACATGTAAAAATCAACAGGAAATGTAAGTTGGTGATTTTCATGGTAAATTCTGATTATTGCTTAAATGGCAGTAGTAGTCTCTTCTGTTTTTGTATTCCCCTTGGGATTGAGCTGTAGCTCTGCCAGGAATAAGTGTAAGGAAGCAGCTGAGAGCATTGGCCTCCCAACTTTTGTTGTTGCTGATGCTGGAAGAACTCAGGTATAGCTTTATCTGATGTAAAAGTTGATTTTTGTTAAATCCCCGTCTTGAATCCAACTGAAAACTATTAACCCTCACCTTGTAAATTCGAGATCAGGATACACACTCTAGAGACTTAAGCTTTAACCCGTCAAGTCCTACAAATATGTGCATCTTCTGTGTCTTCTCATAGTGATTGGTTTGTATACTCGCTTTTGACAAATATTTTTCATGGTATAGATCAAATCTATTTCAAGACCACTTTTCGGCACTGGAAAAGAACATAAGAAAGTTTACCTTATGACCTGCATAGTTTAATTATCCATGTCGATTTCGATACGAAATTTGCATAAGGGAATACGAACCTTCTCGGTTATAGTGGTTTTCTTTTCCTACCTTATTTTTATTGGAAAAACTTTTCCAGGAGGTTACTATTTCCTATCTAGTTTAACATTTTTATTTGTGTTATTTTGTTTTCCAGCTTTCTTGCCATAGGTGTTTCTGTACATGCCCGTGTACAATTCTTGATAATATAATATAGTTACTGTTTCATCTATCTACCACATGGCATCAAAACTAGGTTTCTTCTTAATAACTTTCAGTTCCTCATCTGCTGCTCACATCTTTTCACCACTCTTCATTGTAGTTACGGACAATGTAAAGAAAAAATAAAGGAACTATTCTGTTGTTGACCCTGTCCTCCAGAGTCACTCCTTTTTCTGTTTCCTTCAAGATCTTTGAGACGAAAAATGTTTCTTGTATTTACAAGATTTACAAAGTATCACTGCCAATTTTTTGTTAGTTAAAGAAAAGTCTTGGTTCTTTTTGCTTGGCATTGGACCCTTCTAGTTGTTTTCACTTTTCACATGCTTGTTTTTATATTTGCAATTTATTTTAAACAGGTCTCGGCTGGGTCAAAGACGGTTCTTGCAATTGGACCTGGTAAAGTTGTTATTTTTAATGAATTAACTCTTATAATGCCACTTGGTTCTCTTGCTGGTAAATAGATCATATTGCCACCCTCTTCCCCACACTCACTCCACATTCCTGGCCCCAGTTGGTCACCTTGAACAAAAAAAATAAATAAATAATAAAAAGGGAAAAGAAGGGGCTCCTGTATTACTAAAGTGAAGGTTTATTGCCGGTTTGGAGCAGGAGCAAAAGCAGCAATTGATTCAGTTACAGGAAAGTTGAATCTACTCTGAAATTGTTGAACACATCGAGACCCCATCATTCATTTACTTGGTCGATATTCTCAGACTATTGTTTCAGTCCCATCCTTGCTGCAAAAATTTCTCAGCTAATTTTGTTCAAGGTGGTCTTATGGTGGCCAAGGGAGCAGCAGTTAGTGGTGGTGATAGTTTCTCAGACTCTGTTATGGAAGACATCATTATCCTGTCATGCTGCTGAGAATTTTTGTTGTATCTTCCATTGTTTGGCTTGGCATAGTAACTAACAAAAGAAGAAGCCTCCATGGTAATCTTGGGATATCGGTGTTCATCTATTTGGTGACTGTAACATGTCTTAGATAATTTATGTACCTCAAATTATATTTAAATTTCATCTGATACTTTAATGGAAAAGTATAGAAACCTTTTTTTTTTTTGCCACAATGAAAACAAATTTGGAAGAGCTATTTCCCAATGGTAATTTGACCTATATTAACGGATTTTTTCCGTTACTGTAGGTTAATTTTTTTATCGTGCTTAATTTAAAACTTTTAAGACTAGATGAATGAATTTTAATGCTAATCTTTTTTCTTAATAGAATAATTTACTATTCTAATTTTTATTTTTGTTGAGTATTCGATGTATAATTGTTTTGACGCTCCTACAGAGCAAAACTATTTCCCAATTTACTTGTATTTTTATTTTTTTCTGGTTGAGTGCATTATTCATTTATTTCCTCTTACTTACAAGCATTCAATCCCTAAATTTAGGGATTTCATTAGTTTTCTTATTTGCATATTCATTATCTCTAAAGAGTTGCTCCAAGTGTCGATGATATGGGATTCATTGAGGTTTTATTAAGCAGATTCAACAAGGATAATGGGCTGATGAACCTTATTTTTGGGCACTTTCTAGAACCGATTCGAAGACAACTAGAATATTGTTTGAAAGCTCGACTATTCTACTTTAGAATTAGTCTAAGGACTTTCAGTTTGCTACACCAAAGGATTTTGCATGTTAGACTTTGGTAACCAATGAAGCCAATTGGCTATACAATTCTTTCAGTATGGTAGCTTCAATATGCATCAGTTTTAGTAATGGAAAAGAGTATGTCTTCTCATAGTATTTATTGGCACAATTATTCAAGGCAATTCAAAAGGGGGATGAATTGAGTTTTAAATTTTTTTAATTATTTTTAATTTTAAACTGAGGATTAATAAAAACAAAGTAATAATCAATGCAACGAGATAAGAAATATGTGCTTGATAAAATGAATGAAGTTATGTTTAAAATTTTTGAATTAATTGTCTAGGAAGTAAATTTGAAAGGAATGAATAGTATATACACTTTAATAAATAAATATGCTAGAACAATGAGTTAAAGAGGAAGAGTAGAGAGAGCAAACATGAATTTTATAGACATTCGGCCTTAATTTTGTGACTATATTCCTCAGGTCAGCAATTTAAATATTTTCATTCTTTTTCAATTATCTTCAGCAAATGCTTGTTTCTTAGGTATTAAATTTTATTATCTAAGTGTTTCTTTCAAACGTCAATATTCTATTAGGATTTTTCACACTTCTTCAATATTTAAGTATTTAAAAGATAAAATTTTCAACTATACTATCAGTACAAGTTGATTATAAGATAAAATTCAAGAGATCTTTAAATATTATACAAAAAGAATATATAGTACTTACTAATAAAATAGTCGTTAGAAAATAGAAAGATTGAAAATGTAGGCATTCAATGTGCTCTAATGAACATTTTTCATGTGATGAAAAGAAATGTTTCGAATCAAACCTATATATTGTATCTTCACATCCATTTAAAACCCGAAAATGTGAAAATAGTGTGAAGATGATACATGAAATATTTTGTTTACATCACATATTTGCATATACTTTAAAGCAAATAAATTAGTGTGAAAAAAATAAAACGATAAATTATTTTTGTACCTTAATAAAAAAATTTACACAAAAAAAAATTCTGTGAAGATATTTTTCATATTACAATTTTATATATTTTAAATACAAATTTTAAAAATAATGTAAAACACGCATGTTTTTAAGATGCATTTCAAATCACACATATTTTTTAAAAGCGTGTGACATAGAAAGATCAAATAATTCTTTGCATCGCATTTTTTCTATTTTAAGTTCAATATAAATATAAATATAAATATAAATATATATATCTTTATTGTATGGAATTCATTTTAAAGCATTTTTCTAAACTTTTGTGCTAATAAAGTCAATTCTTGCTATAAAATAAAATCTCCTTTGCTTGAAGAGCTTTTTTTTTTTTTTTTTTTATATCTCCATAGTACTAAAATTAAGAGGTTTATTTATCTCATAGCTCAAATATATTAGAAATAAATGTATACAATTTTAGTTTGTGTTAATTATATACCGGTTAAGAGAGAAATGAAATACGTTTACTACCAAGTAAAGATGGTAAGTATATATTATTGTAATAAAAATAGAGAAATGAAATGAAGAAAAGTTAGAAGCACATGAAAAGGGAGGCAAGTGAGTGTCAGTTTGCTTTGTCGAAAAGAGGCAAGTCATTGTCAGAAACGGAGACATCCAACATGCACGAATCCCCCTCCATGCATGGAACCCCATCTGCCCAATTTCAACTACACCACATTTATGTATTTATACCCATTATCATTCTTCTATTATATTATATTATATTATATATATATTATACAAAAGTTAAAGGCCCCCAGCTTCCCTTGAGTAACGTCGAAGGCACCTTCTCCAACTTCTGAAATTTTACTTCCTAATTATATATATATATATATATATGCATGTACATACCAACTACTTAATTATTGCTTCTTGTCACTAATAAAAAAGTAAAAATATAATTAATCTTGTTGCTGTGAAAATATTGATCTTGTTCTTCTGGTTTATTTTGAAAGAACGGTTCAAAAATATTAATAGTAAAATTTATCATATTAAATATTATTTAATTACAACTAATGAACTAATCCAGTCAATAATATAATTTATAAAATGTGAATAAATAAATTAACACGCAAATAAACTAATTTTTTCTTAATTTGATCAATTTATATATAAATATATATATATATATATATATCTCTCTCTATATTGGCAGGAATCCTTACAGGTGTTTGCTGGAATAAGAATATTGCTCCTACGTACACTCATATGTAGATCAATATATACACATATCATAGATGTACTTGTATGCGCGGATATCAAATATATATATATATATACACATATATGTATATGTATGGTAATTATATTTAAAGATGCACGTGCAGGGTTGCGATTAGCATCATAAACTAAACCCACTGAGTCCATGGATGAGGCATGTGACCACCGCAAACTCTGCTTCCTTTTAACTATATATAATATATTTACATACATATATACGTATGTATGTATATATATATATATACAATTAGTGATATTTTTATTATTTTTTGAAAAATGGGGTTTTGATGTAAAAAATTAATGTTTTTTGTAAAAGAAATTATTAAATACATTAAAAGAAGCAAAGTGTAGAATTAGTGGAATAATTAATTAGCAATGATTGCAGTGAGAACGTAACTAACCATTAAACAACTCGCATATGGATTAGCTTTGCCTTGGATCGTGCACATTCACTCTATATATTACAACACAACGTAATTCTCGTTTTATATATTAATTACAATTACAATTACAATTACCATATCACATTCACACATATATGTATATATCTCTGCGTGTATGCTATTATTAAAGAACGAACATATATATATATATATATCTTCATTCACGTGCCTCGATCTAGAGCCTATATTAATTTGGAACGGTGAAAATTAATTACATTCCAAATTTTATGGAGTTACTTGAATGAATTAAATCCTTCTCTTTCTCAAAATTAAAAATTACTTCACTAATCATAAAAACAAGTATGATGGGACAGGGTGGCTTGTCCTCGTACAATATTTTCATGGGTAAGATTCTAATGCTGGTTTCATATCTTAGCTTTAATTGCCATATCCCTCTTATGGATCATCTCTTTCCCCAATGGATGCTCAGAGATGTCAACAAGACGAAACCACCGGTTTGACCAACTAATTTGATAAAAATGTGGGTCGAATTCATCCATCTCATGTAAGTATATATATATATATATATATGTATGTATGTATGCATGTATGTATGTGCTTCTGTGTAAGTATATACACACACACATCTTTGGACCTTGAAATGTGGCGTTTTGATCAAGATTAATGCAAAGTTCACGTGATCACTCTTTCTTTAAGCTTCTATTCATGCAAATGCAAATCTTTAATAGTGCAAAATCAATTAAAACATATGAACTAATAAATTTCATTAATAGAATTTACTACTTCTAATTTTAAGTTAAAAAATTTACAAAAATAAAACTTAGAATGTGAGAATCATAGAGTAATTTTTTAAAACAGCTTATAATTAATTTTCATTTTGTCTAAATTGCTGATTATTACAAGTCTAGTAAATGTCAAATAACCCATTTCCAAATTCAAGTGCAAGTAAATAAAAATTACCTGAATTACAAAAAAAAAATTGGGTTGGGTTCTTCAACATATTGCCGCCACCTTAGGGACTCAAAAAACAAAACGCATAACAAAATTACCTCTAAACCAAATTGGAATTAAAAAAAAAAAAAAATTCTGGAAATTCACTAAAACTAATGAATTCCCACCAATTAAAACTCAGCTGCAGCTGAGTTACTCTACTCTTGCCTCCACTAGATCAGCTGCCTGAAGTCGGGCCCAATATGTTGGTGAATCAAATAATCATCACCGTTGGATACATCGAACATCATGTTCTGATGATGATGCATGAACTGCTGCTGCTGCTGCTGCTGGGCCCTGAGCAGTTCCTTTTGACGTCGAAGCTCCATCACTTTCCGGTGGGAGTTGGAGTGTTTGGTCAGCACGAAGGTCGGGCTCGCGGCGGGTCGGTATTCCGGTACCAACCGACCCGACTTGTATCGCACCCCACAAGCGTTACAAAGCGTTTTGGGACCCATCGGTCCAGTCCTCCACTGCGGGGTCTTATCGGTGGCGCAATGCAGGCACCTACGTCCGTCGGCGTTTCCCCCGGCGTCAGCATCTCCGGTTTCCTTTTTTCTCGGAGCGGCCCCCTTCACGGTCTTTTTTCCAGTGGTGGGCTGCGTCGGAGGCGGAGGTGGAGGCTGGACGACGATTTCGGGTTCGGAGGAATACGAAGTTGTGGGGCTGAGGACCATGAGTCGGGAAGCCCAGTTGCAGGGGGCGGCTCGGGAGCGCTTGCTTCGGGCCTTGGCCGGAACCGAGACGTCCGGGTGGAACATGGGATTGTTGTTGTGGTTGATGAATGCATTGGAGGTGGTGGTGATGGTCCTGTTGGGTTGGGTTTCGGATGATTCCTCGGGTCGGGTCTTCATTCCGCAAGTCAGCTGGAGCTTTTGCAGGTCGTAGCTTGAGAATGATTCCTCCACGAAATTCGACAGCCATTCTAGCTCAGCTACATCATCGTACTGCCAATAAAGAAAAGCAAAAACAAATTTAATTGTCTTCATCACCAAATTATCTCTCTCTCTCTCTCCCTCTCGCTGTCATTCCTTCAAATATGTCTGTATATTATATACTTAAATTAATTTCTACAAATTTCCATGCATAATTCTTGCTGGGTGTTTATAGGAGCAGAAATTAGAATAACATTAAAATTCGTAAGTCTGTTATTTTCTTTTTTTTGACAGCCAAACACAGGAAATGGAAGTTAGTAATCCACGGAAACAGTAAAAGCAGCGTTGTAAAAAATTCTGTTCATGGAGTGATGCGTTGAATTTTCTGCACGTAATGGGAATTACCGGGACGCAGAGATCAGCAGATAAGTTGGCATCGGTGAAATTCCGGTGGCCGGCGATATCTGCGGAGAAATTTGGTTCAGAGCCGGAAAATGAAGACGAATTGCAGCTATCAACGAGGGTGACAGTGGAATCGGTAGAGCTACCGGGAAGGGAATCAAAGGCTGCATCAATGTTAGCGAAGTCTAAAAGATCCTCAACGATAAAATGATCGGCCCCATTTGGCTGCGAGCAATAGCTTGGCTGAAGAAATTCTGGTGCTTCCATAACTTTTTTACCAAAAAAAATTTCTGGGTTTTGACGTTAAAGAGGAAATTAAATAAAAATTGAGCTGCAAGAAAGAGAAAGAGAAAGAGAAAGAGAAAGAGAAAGGAGTATAGAGTGTGAGAGGGAAGAGAGGGTTTATTTGCGTTTGAAGGGGACAGGCGGACAGCTAAAATGGAAGGATGATTTTGACGAGGAAAATCAAAGGGCTTGTGCAAATAATATTTAAATAATTAAATAAAAATAAACAACTATACAATAAAAATTAAAGCTCCAAATTACTTTTCTACCCTTTTTGGTCTTTTAATGCTGCTTTTTATCACGGCGGTAATTAACTATTGCTTGCAAAGGGTGGAGGGTAAATTAGTAAATTAATATTTTAAATTTTGTTAACTGGATGAACAGGTAATTAAGAAATTAATTAAAATATGATTAGAGGTGATTAATTGTTCAAATTCAACCCCCTTAGGAACCGATCTAGCAGGTTTGTCGCTGAGGCTTATGCATTAGCGTCCAAGTTTACAGCCCGATTCCTGTGCTTTTTTTTAAAAAAATTTAATTTTACATCGGGACTCGCGCTTTTAATTTTAATTTTTAAAAAATAAAATAATTTTTCTGCCCCCTGTTAATCGGCTTATTATATTGAAAGAGCCACTAGTAAGCACGACGGTTACAGCTCAACATGATTAGATCAACGGCTAGGATTGCCCCAACAGTGCACCTGCAGATTCGGTTTTAACCTTTCACCTCACCCTGCCACGTAGGTTCGAGAGCGATTCCATTGGTCGCTGCCTTTATTTATTTCACAATTTATACGCTTCATGTTCTAATTACAAAAGTAAAACAAAATTCACCACAGAGTAAAATTACACCTTCCTTCTTTAATGAACATAAATTACACATTATTTATTAGTCTCTTTTGAGATTTTATTGAAATAATCAAGTATAAAAAAACATAATTTTTCTTCAAAAATTGAATTTATGCATTGCTAATTATAAATTGAACTATTTAATCTAACATTAAGATGTAAGTGTTAAAATAACGCACCGATAACCAAATATAAAATATTGAGTAATATGGGATGATTATACCAAATTTTCCTAAATATCTTCTTTAAATAACGAATTATGTGTTTGTTGTTATTATTTATTATAGTAAATTATTTTTGTATTTAATAAAGTCTATGTAATATTTATATTATATTTTAAATATTTTGATCTTTTACTTTCTAAAAGTTATTTGTAAAATATATACATATGCATATGTTTATTGTCCTTTATTTCACTTTTTAACTTGAATTAAGAAAAAGCCTAAAAAAGAGAGAACAAATGGATCATTGCTTGTGGTGGGGGTTTTCATTATAAGATTTTTTTTTTATAAAAAAAAAAAAAAGCATTGTTCTCTATATACTTACTCTTATTTTTTATCTTTGTTTTCGAAAGATGTTATTATATATATTATTTTTAACTGTACATTGATCAAATTGAAGCATCATATCACTCACTCATTTCCGTATTTACCTGTCTCGTACTAAAAATTAAAATTAATGATGTTTAGTGCCACGTAATGAGAATTTAAAATATTATTATTATTTTTTATTTTAATTGTGGTTCATATAGGTGATAAAATCATTTTATTTCTTATAATAATAGTGAAAATACATATCAGAGAGTCAATTGAGCTGTGGGCAATTGTATATGCATTACTTCCACCGGTGACAGTTCACTTGGGATACACATTTCATAGTAATTATTTGTCTAACTCACTAAATGACCATAATACATCTTTTAAATATAAAAGTGTTACCCTAATATTTAAAACAATAAAAAAAAGTTAATTAGATTTTTCAAAATTCAAATAAAAAGTAAGCATACAAGAACAAATTAGTTAAACAAATAAAAACTAATTCACAACATTTTATTAAAATAAAATATATAAATTTAAGAGAATAGGAAAGAGAGATTGCAAACTAGATTTTTAGGGTTCAATCACCAATTTTGTGTATATATCATCTATTCAAACAATCCACTTGAAATGTTTACTTTTTTCAACAATTATTCACATAACGGTTATTTGACCGAGGTCTCTAATTCATCATAAAATATCTTTACTATGTTTGTTTTTAGAATTTTAATAGCTTTTAATTAATGAACCAAATAAAAATCTCTTAAAATGCATATGATAAGCAAAAACATATTTATGAATTTTAACTCTAGAAGAAAAAATGATTTTTTTTTTCTCTCTCTTTATAAATTTTGTTGAAAAATAAGTAATATCTAAAAACCTAAAAAAATTTAGGAAATAATCCCAATGAATCTTTTCAAAAGTATATATACAAGAAGAATTTTTTTGGGGTATTTCAAATTTTACTTAAGAAAAAAAAAATAAATTTTGCACAAGATTTCTCTCAAATTCTGATATAATCCGGAAATCACAACGGCAACGGGTTCCCAAACCCAAGTACAGCAACCGTCTCCCATGACTCAATCAAGCAATTGAAGAACAATTACCATGATGTCATGATCTCCATCCATCCATAGATAGTTTCCTTTATCCCTAAATTAATTAATGTTCATGCAGGAGCAGTTGTGTATTTACAGTTATAGTGTCTTCTATTTAAGCATGCAAGTATCAAATGGATGTATGTCTTCTGTAATCAATGAAAATTGGGTTCTTTCTCACCCTAAGAGAACTTATCTCGTTTATGTGTTGTTCTGATTGGGACCACATCATTGGTATCAGAGCAGGGAATGGCAACAAACAAATAACAAATTGAAACCTTAGAGGTCAGTGTTGGAGGCCTGCAAGACCGCTTCAGCCATATGGAGAACGGAATGGCGAGCAAACTGTAGGTGATTGAGGACACTCTCCGACGCTTGACCGAATCGCTGAAACTGAACAAGGAAGTATCCATCAACACTTCCACCGGGCGAAGCACTCTGGAATGGCTGAATCGCGAAAGCGGCGCCGAGCGGAATGACGGACCACGACCTGCGTTCGGTGCCCGACTGGTTCGCATCGACTTTCCCACTTACGATGGAATTGATCCTACGGAGTGGCTTAATCGAGTTGATCAATTTTTTGATTTTCAGGAAACACCGGAGGAACATGGGGTGTCGCTGGCGGCTTTTCACATGGAAGGGGAAGCTAATCAGTGGTGGCAGTGGTTGAAGAAAACGCATAAGGAAAAAGCCCGGGAGTTGGGCTGGACCGAATTTGTGGATGAGCTTTGGGCTTGTTTTAGCCGGACGGAATGTGAAGACTTTGATGAAGCCTTATCCAGAGTGGAGCAGACTGGCTCTCTTCGAGAATATCAAAAGGAATTTGAGCGCCTGGGTAACCGGGTTAGGGGCTGGACCCAAAAAGCTTTAGTGGGTACATTCATGGGTGGACTTCAGCCTGACATTGCTGATGGAATCAGGCTGTTTTAGCCCAAAACACTGAAAGATATTATTAACCTGGCTTGGATGAGAGAAGACTAGTTAGACCGACAGAAACAGTCCAACCGAACTGGGCGGTTCACTCCCATAGTGCAATAGAAAACCCAAGTCGTCTCTTCTTCGACTACAGACGCTCCGCCAGCCGCCACCATGAAACGACTCTCTTGGGACGAAATGCAGCGGAGACGCGCACAAGGTATCTGCTTCAATTGTGAGGAGAAATTCGTTCCGCACCACCGATGCCGTCGACCACAACTATTACTGTTAGAGAGCGGAGAAGAGGAAGACGGGTCAACCGCACATGAGGAATCAGGAATCTCTTTACATGCCCTTGAAGGATGGCCGTCCGCTCGAAGTATGAAGATTATCGCCTCCATTCAACAACAGAAAATGGTGGTACTTGTGGACAGTGGGTCGACTCACAATTTCATAAGTGAGCGACTCACGAGCATCATGCGGCCACCTGTGAGTACCGACCGAACCATTTACGGTCCGAGTAGCGAACGGACTATCGATGAAATGCAGTGGCTGGTTCGAACGAGTTCCAGTCGAGATGCTAGGTATCATTTTTCATCTCACTCTATGTGCCCTTCCTTTGATTGGTTTGGACTTGGTTGTAGGAGTTCAATGGCTGTCCGAGTTAGGCACCATAACCTGTGACTGGAGGAAGATGACGATGAGGTTCGTTTGGGATGGCCAAGAACAGAAACTTTGCAGCATGACTCAGCCGACCATCCGACCAGCTTCCAGAAAAGAAGTAGAGAAGCACAACAAAAATATACCTCGTTTGCCCTCTGCACAGTGGCCGCACCAGAACAGCAATCGTCTTCCATCAATTCAGAGATGCAAGTCTTATTGAAAGAATATACTGACTTGTTCCAAGAACCTGAGGGGTTACCACCAACCAAATAAATTGAACACAGAATTATTCTCCGTGAAGGTACAAAACCGATCAACGTCCGTCCATTCCGGTATGCACACTTTCAAAAAACTGAAATTGAAAAGCAAGTTAACAACATGCTTGATTCTGGTTGATCAGACTCAGCACCAGTCGATTTTCCTCTCCAGTGTTGTTAGTGCGAAAAAAGGACGAGACATGACGATTTTGTACAGATCATAGAGCACTCAATTATGCCATTGTGAAAGATCTGTTTCCCTTTCCTACAGTAGATGATATGCTCGATGAGCTTCATGGAGCTAAATTCTTTACCAAGCTCGATTTAACTGTCGGTTATCAACCAAGTCAGAGTTCATCCTTCAGATGTGTATAAAGCAGCTTTCCGGACACACAATGGACACTAAAGAATATATAGTCATGCACATTCGGGTTGTGCAATGCTCCTTCCACCTTCCAAGCCATCATGACTTCCATATTCCGATTCTATTTATGTATGAATTCCATTTTCCGATTCTATTTATGTAAGTTTGTGCTGGTATTTTTTTATGACATTCTAATTTACAGTAGCACTTGGATTTGCATCTTGATCACGTCAAGCAGGCTCTAGACATCTTGAGACAACATTGCTTCTTCATCAAATAGAAGAAATGTTTTTTTGGGCAACAGGAACTTGAGTATTCGGGACATATTATCATTTCACAAGGAGTCAAAGTTGATCAAGCTAAAATCAAGGCAATGGAATCATGGCCCCGACGAACCAACATCTCTGAACTACGGAGTTTTTTGTGACTTACTGGTTATTATAGAAAATTTGTCAAAAATTATGGAATGATAGCTCAGCCATTGACTAACCTCTTAAAGAAAGGTCAATTTGGGTGGAAAGAAGTAGCGGAATATGCCTTTGAACAACTCAAACAGGCTCTTTCAATAACTCCTCCATTGGCATTACCAGACTTCAACATTCCTTCAATAGTTGAAACTGATCCTTTAGGTGACGGTATTGGGGCTGTCTTTTCACAAAACAGGCACCCAATAGCTTATATGTAATTATTCCGAAAATATTTAAAGAAAATAAATGATAGTTAAAGTGCGGAAGCAAAATAAATGTTCAAAATTTGCATTCCTTATACAATAACTTAAAGTACCAATTAGTATTCTGAAATTCACAATTTTGAAAGAAATACAAAGAAATAAGAAAATGAACGAAACTAAAGAAAACTAGCATTCTACTCGCAACCTTTTTGCGGATCAGGCTCTGAATCCTGATCCTCTTGATATGAAATAGTTAAATAAGGGATGAGTTACACTAGTTTAGTAAAAATATAACACTATATCATCTACACAAAAATTAAGGTTGGTAGAAAATTAAAATAATTAATAGAACACTTAATTTAAATTAATACATTTATTAAAAATAAAATAATTTACTATCTATTTATCGCAGCGACATTTATAAAAGCAACTTATAAAGATAATAACATAACTTGATAGAAAATCAAAACAATTAATGGAACACTTAATTTAAATCAATGTATTTATTAAAAATAAAACCATTTATCATCCACTTATCGCAGCGAAATTTATAAAAGCAACCTACAGAGATAATAACATAACACTTATCATGATTTCATATGCAATTGCTAACAGGCACACATTATAAATCCATATTTAATAAATCAAACAACAACCTTTCCTTTTATCGGCCTACTGTTATCCATAGGGGTTCATAAGGATGTCCTTGCTATGCGTGAACCATTTCCTTCAATATTCTCAAATTAAAGGTCGTCCCTATACCCCGTCCGGTATGAGCGCCAAACCACTAAACCTCAATACCCCGTCTCTATACCCCGTTCGGTATGACTATCAATTCTGTCTAAGATTTCAAATGGTCCAATGAATCGGGAATTCAGTTTCTCCCTCTTGCCGAACCTACTGATTAATTTGAAAGAAATAACATTAAGAAACACTCGATCGCCTTTTTTAAATTCCAAATATCTCATCCAGGTGTCCGCATAACTCTTCTACCTGCTCTGAGCCGTCTGAATGTTCTTCATGATCTTAACTATTTTGGATGTAGTCTCCTCTACCAGATCTGGACCGAAGAGCTTTTTATCACCCACTTCCTCCCAACAAATCGGCGATCTGCTTGGGCGCCCATATAACGCCTCGTATGGAGCCATATCAATACTTATTTAGTAGTAGTTGTAGTAGTTGTTGTAAGTAAACTCTATCAGGGGTAAGCTCAGAGCATATCCTCAAGTGTGCGAATTGTCCTTTCTGACTGTTCATCGGTCTGAGGGTGGAATGCAGTACTAAGGGACAGTTTCGTTCCCATGGCTTGCTGAAGGCTCGACCAAAATCGAAAAGTTAACCTGGGGTCCTTCTCGGATACTACTGTCACTAGTGCTCCATGTAATCTGACTACTTCTCGAATATACATTATTGTCAACTTATCTAAGGAATCAGTCATCCTGATGGCCAAGAAGTGGGAAGACTTGGTAATCCAGTCAATAATTACCCAGATGACATCATGTTCTGAGCGTGCCTTAGGTAATCATGTCACGAAGTCCATGACGATGTATTCCCACTTCCACTCCGAGATTGGTAACAGCTGAAGTAGCCCACCTGAGCGTTGATGCTCTGCCTTGACTTGCTGATATACCAAATACTTAGAAACAAAGTCAGCTATACCTCTTTTCATCCCGTTCTACCAAAATCGGGGTCGTATATTTTGGCACATCTTAGTGCTTCCGGGATACATGACAAACTTTGAATTATGGGCCTTTGTAATAATGTCTCTTTTTAACTCACTGTCACCTAGAACACACACTCTGCCCTAGAATCTGAGTAGCCCATCGGTAGAGACTCGGAATTCTGGGTTAACTCTCTGTTCTGCATTTCTCTTGAGGGTCGCTAGGGTGGAGTCGACAGACTAAGCTTCCTTTATTCTCTAGATTAACTCAGGCTGAACAGTCAGGTCGCCCAAAAATGTGACTATCTTCAGGTCCTAAAGCCGTACCTGCTGTGCGACCCCTATCTGCCTGCATTCTAAAACCATTAAATGGGCTAATGTACTTGCATTTTTTCTGCTGAGCACGTCAGCTACTATGTTGCCCTTACCCGGATGATACAAGATGTAATAATCATAGTTTTTAAGAAGTTCTATCCACCTTCTCTGACGCATGTTAAGATCCTTTTGAGTAATTATGTGTTTCAAACTCTTATGATCGGTATATATCTGAAAGGTCTCTCCATATAAATAATAGCGCAAGATCTTCAAAGCGTGTATGATTGCGGCAAACTCTAAGTCATGGGTGAGATGGTTTTTCTCATGACTCTTCAACTGTCTAGACCCATTGGCTATGACATTCTTATGCTGTATTAAAAGACAACCCAAACCTATGTAGGAGACATCACTGTAAACTGTATATCTACCTGATCCACTCGGCAAGGCCAACACAGGTGCAGTAGTCACCCATTTCTTTAGTTCTGAAAAACTTTTTTCACAGTTCTCGTCATACTCAAACTTGACTTTTTTTGTGAGATGGGTCAGAGAAGCAGCTAGACTAGAAACTTTCAGACTGCGGTAATAACTTGTCATCTCAGAAAACTATAGATCTCTTAGCCGATGTCAATTTTCTCAGCCGAGCATTGCTTCTACCTTTTCAGGGTTCACTAACACTTCATCCTTTGATATGATATGTCCTAGGAAGGTAATTTGTTCAAGATAGAATCCACACTTACTTAACTTTGCATACAACTTCTTTTCTCTGAAGACCCTGCAAAACTTGAGTCAGATGGTGAGCGTGTTTCTCTCTACTTTTTGAATAAACCAAGATGTCAATTATGAAAAAATTAGCAAACTAGTTCAGGAATTGTCTGAAAATCCTATTCATCAAGTCCATGAAGATGGCTGGAGCGTTGGTTAGTCCAAATGGCATGACCAGGAACTCATAGTATCCGTACCTGGTTTGAAAGGCTATCTTAGGGATGTCTTCTACCCTGATTTTTACCTGATAGTAACCTGAACGCAGGTCTATTTTAGAGAAGACCTAGGCACCCTACAACTAATCAAAGAGGTCGTCAATCCTGAGGAGGGGATACTTGTTCTTGATCGTGATCCTGTTCATACCTCTGTAATCAATACATAGCCTTAATATCCCATCAGTCTTTCTTGCAAATGTGACTCCGGCACCCCAAAGGGACACAGTATGTCGGATGAATCCACTGTTCTGCAGTTCAATGATTTGTTTTCTCAGTTCCTCCATTTCAACACGGCTCATACGGTAAGGAGCAATCGAAATAGGCTGGATGATTGGCTAAAGATCTATAGTAAATTTGACTTTCCTGTCCACTGATAGTTCATGTAGTTTATTTAGAAACACATCTAGAAAGTCTCAGACTAGTAGAATCTCTTAAATACAAATTTCTTCCTTAAGTTTGCCTAGTTAGAGAAAACAACTGGGTTAAAGCACTTAATAACAAGAGAATTTTCCATGAGGAAATAAATAAATGATTTTATTAATTTGTAAATGACTCCTTATTAGAAGGGTTGAATACAACTTTCTTACTAAAACAATCTACAGTGGCGTGATACGCCGCTAGCCAGTTCATTACTAAGATTACATCAAAGTTTCCCGTGTCAATTTCTATTAGGTTTACACTCAATTTCCTATCTGTTATATCTATGATACATGTCCTGTATACAACTTCTTCCAGTAGTGTCCTACTCCCAAGAGTAGACACGAACTACACATAATCAAGTTTTTCAGGCAGTACATTTAATTTTGATGTAAAAATATATGAAACAAATGAATGCGATGCACTAGTATCAATCAAAATATGAGCAAGATAGTTACAGATAGGATACATACCCTGTACCACGTCCGGATTGGCTTCTGCATCTTGCTATGTGAGATTGTAAGCTCTACCCTGAACAGGAGGTTTGACCTGATTCTGGTTCATCGGGCACTCCCTCGCATAATGTTGAACACTACCACAAATACGGCTGGTGTTGTTGAGGCGATAGTAGGGTCGGTCCCCATGATCCTTACCACAATGCTGACAGATCTTGCCACGTCCTGCTGCTGGAATCTGAGGGGGAGCTTGAGTCATCGGCATGGGTCTCTTATTCTATTGAACAGGTGCGATAGGTGCTAATTTACGGTGTGGAACTGAGGGCCTGAGGTTCCGTTCTACTTGAGGGAAGGTGTGAAGGCTCCTCTCTGCTAACTGTGCTTTGGCCAGAACAGCCGAATAAGTGTTGCGCTCGAGCACAAACAATTGCTGTCTAATCTCAAGACGAAGGCCCCACTCGAATCTTCTAGCCTTCCTGCCTTCGTTCATCATGTTCTCAGGAGAATATCGACCCAACTTCAGGAACTTACGAGCATATTCTGATACAGTCATGTCCCCCTGAACCAAGTATGTAAATTCCATCTCCTTCAGATGTCGGAGATGCTCTAAGAGGTACTCTGCATGAAAGGCCGTCAAGAACTATTCCCAAGTGACTGAAAAGGGGAGGGTGGCCTGCTTGAGTTGCCA